TGGTGTAGAACTCCTCAGGGATTGCTTTGTATCGTTTCTTCAACTTGGCTTGATCTGCCGTCTCGGGGATCATGTCGCCAGTGTAGCTGAGGAAGACGTTCTTCTCTTCATCATAGCTTGCCTCACGTAGGCCTTGTTCATCATGAATTGCCGGGGCCAAAATGGCAGGTCCGGCAGGGTGCTCGTTGATCAAGTGGTTTGAATTCTTCGCAGGCTCTTTGCTCTTGTCGTTCTTCATGCACTGCTCTGCCAAAATGGCTGATGGTGAAACTTCGTCCTCGGAGTCGCGCTCTTCTGCAATTGGTGATAGGCTCTTGTTCTTCTCGCTGTTCATGAGGTCGTAGGGCTCCTCGGACTTCTTCTGCTGTTCCTCATCGATGAAGTGAATCTTCCTGGATGGAACAGGATTCCGTAGTTCATCTTCTTCTCCATTCTCGCAAGCCAGATGATCACAACCAACATCATGATCTTGGCTCTTCATTGGGCCTTTGTCTCGTTCATGTTCACGATTGTAATCACACCGGTCATCCTCTGCCGCCGTCTGGGAATGGAAGCAGTGTCTGACCCGTGGTTGCACGTCAGGCCAAACTTTCGAAGTGATCTCGGTGATCTTCTGGAAGAAAGCGATGGCCTCGTGCTTCGAAGCTCTTGGAACCTTCTCGTTCTGAACGTTGTCACAAGGCAGGATGTAGTGTCCAGAATCTGTGAGCAGGATCCTGAAGAACTTCACGTGATTGACCTCTGCATCCATGGCGTCCTTGGTGTTCAGAACAAGCATGCCATCACCATTCTCGAACCAATCTGTCAAGATCGATGCACCCAATCGACGAAGAGTCGGGTTGCCAACCAGTGCTGGGCATAGGCTTCCAGCTCCACCAATGACCTCCGCCGTGTAGGTGATGGGTTGTCCTGCGGTCGCCATGGTCAACGTGACCTCTCCGAGAGTTGACTCGCTGTTTCCTGAAATGCCGGAAACTGGAGTGATCTTGTTGCGGTTGATCTCCATCTCACCCATGGAGCAACTCTTGAGCATTCTGAGGGTCTCGCTACCAACCAGCCCGGATGCAGCTCCGGGATCGATGAGCAAACCATAGCGTTCTTGCCCATGGATGGTATGGTAGCTCATCTGTGTCTCTTCTTTCTTCATGTTGAAGACCATGAAGTTCATCTTGAGCTTCTTGTCATAGTGATCCTTCGTAGTATACTCAGGCTGACCTGAATATCCCTCAGTTGGCTTCTTGAAGTCCTCATCCTCAGATGACGTGTGGATCACGAAGCTCTCGGTCTTCTTGGTCGTCTTGACCTCCTTGGAGCTTGTGGCAACTTCTTGCGGAGTTGAGGCATCAGGAATGCCTTCGCTGATCGACAGACCACCACGAGGCTTGTAGTTGTCCTCCTCCTGGTAGGCGTAGTAGTGGCCTTTTCGACCAAAGCCTTTTCCTTTTCCTTTGCCTTTGCTTCTCCAAGGATGCTTGCTCTTGCCTTTGCTCTTTCCTTTGAAGTTGGGTCGCCATCTCCAGAAGCCTTTTGACTTTCCTTTTCCTTTGTAATTGTGGCTGCCCTTCTTGTTCTTGCCCTTGCCAAGTGGACAATCTCGAACTCGGTGGAACTTGCTGCCACAGTTGAAGCAACCATCATCACTGCCATTGCCTTTTCCTTTGTAATAGGCTTCGTTGTACTCGCCCGAGACATTGGAGTCGCTTGCTGAACCAGATGTCATGCCAGCCTCTAGGTCCACCTCTTGCCATGACTCATCGCTGGCATCATGGTTCTCATAGTAGTTCTCGTCGTTGGCGTACTCCTCATAGACCCATTCACCTTCATCGGCCTCTTCATAGCCATACCACCATGAATCCTCGGCCTCATAATCATCGCCCCAGTCCTGGTAGTAGGCGTCGTAGTCGCCATAGGACTCATCATTCTCTTCATAGAGGATCTGGGCGTCATCAGGTTCTCGCCGATTAGGGTTGATGCGCAATGCCAGAGCTCGAGCGTCGTTGAAGCGAGTGTAGTCGCCAGCAACCTGCAGTTTGATGTCATCAACCGTCTTGGATGGCAAGCCAGAGTTCTTGAACCATAGGAAGAACTTGCCAACATCGTTCAACTGCAGTCCAGCTCTGTCATGAGCATCATCGTACCGGCTGTCGAACTCGACGCTGTATTCGGACAGGCTGAGCTTTCCTCTTGCAAGGCCAAAGAACTTGTCCAGTGCTTGTGTCGCCAGATCTTGATCTTGCTGACCGAACGCCGTGCGGAGTGCGTTGGCCAGGAATTGCACTCCTGAGGGAATGTGGTTCTGGATGATCACATTGGTCGCTGGGTCGCGGACTTCATCCACAGCTAGTCGAACCAGCGCTGCATCGCCGACATCGAAGGTGCCGTCTGGCCTTGGCACTCTCAGGGACATGGCGATCGTGGATGCTCGACCATAGAGTCGTCCAGCCACCAGTGGACCGATGGCTTCATCCTCCACATTGGCAATCCGGTACCAAAGCTTCAGCTTGTCGAAGTAGGTCCTCAAGGGATACGAAGCATCACCTGGAATCCAGCCCGGCGGAATGTCCCGCCGATATTCCTGGAGCGGAATGCTCCCAGAAGTGGGTGGATTCATAGTCCAGCAATCTTGTAATCAATGGAGTCCACGGGGCCTGTGATGAGGTTCTCAAGGATGTAGTATTTATTCCTCTTGGGTTCAACCCCAAGTGAGGTAGTTTTCTGTGTTGTTTGTTCCTCTTGGGTTCAACCCCAAGTGAGGTAGTTTTCTGTCCTCGTCAGAGCCTTCTGACCTTCTCTTGCCACCGACCGAGCAGGATCTCGATCTCCTCCTCCAAAGGCCCTGCAGACCAGAGCCTACCGCGCAACTCGCGGTAGCAGCCAAGCCGAGCGCCAGCAGCCTATGGCGGCGCTGGAAGGATCGGCAACGGAGCACTAGGCTCCGCTACCAAACTCGACAGATTTGTGCCCAAGGCGCCTGCGGTATCGTGTCATGTGAAACATGTTCTACACTTGATCATAGCCATAAGGCCGTGAGGCATGTCTGCACAATTTCACTATATATATATATATCATTATAAATCTGTGTGTCATATGCAGTTCATTTGCAAGCAGTGCACCTTCCTTGATGGACAGCCTTGGCGCGCCACCGCACGGCGGCTGCTTGGATTTTCACCTGGCCAGACCCAAGTGATCGAGCACTGATCAACGGAGGTTGAAGATGATGAAAACGATAACCAAGAAGAAGGAGATTCAAATATTCTATACGGAGTCACGTATTTTACGAAATGACCCAAAGACGGAGCACCCATCATGTCCTCCAATGTTTGTGCACTGCGTTGTTGGCTGCGTTGGCTTCATGTTTGCATTCATCCTGCAGCAGCTTCCTCGACCCCCCAAGAGGAACAAAAAGAAGCAACAAGTGCAACAATTAGAGTACATTTAATATACATGTGTATATGTATATACATACATATATAATATACATATATATGTGTGTATGTTATGTTGTGTGTGTGTTCAATACTAGTCCGGACACGGAACACCAGAAGCACTTGGTTGAACATCGAACCATGTGCAAGAAAGAAACATAAATGCACACCACAATCCTTTACAATCATCTAGAGTAGATGAACATCATCTGACAAGTCCAATAAGTCCACAACACTCTGGATTGAAGACCACTCCAAAACCTCTTTGGGGCTTGGAACCTCCACATGTCTCTCCAGTGAAACAGCCCAGCCTACGTCAAAAAATCTGCATCTCAGCAGATGACGTCTCACCTGACCCCAGCTTGAGAATAATCGGATGGTCTTGCAGGCGAAACTTCGCTCCGGTGAAGAGGCCGTTTGTCTTGTTTGTTTGAAGTGTTTGTCATGCGGTTTCTGTGAGGCACTGTAGTCTGTAGTCGCACACCTTGACTAGCTCAAGCTTCATGAATGTGAATCTCTTAACTTGGCCCAACAAAAGGTGTCGCCCCAAGACCTTTTTGGCAGATTTGTCCCCAAAAATGTGCAGCAAACTGCCGGCCTGAAGCAAGCTTGATCAGCTTGATCCAGCTTGATCCTAATCCAAGCATCCGATGCACTAAGAGTGTGATCAGTGAGGGGATAGCCCCGGGATACTCTAGGATACTCCCCGGGCATGGCTTGAATTAAGACCTTGAAGCGTGACCAATTTTGAGTGTAGGATCGGTGAAGCTGCGCAGAAGACACACATGGACAAAGAGCCAGCAACTCGTGTGGCTGATTTACTGATGCGTCACAGCGAGCAGAAGACCAGCAAGCCTTCCAAGCTCAGCGGCTGCAGGTGGCCTCGCCGCAGCAAGACATCGACAAAATGTCTGAAGAGATGAAGGGTCTCTGCGCGAAAAAGGGTCAAAGGATTACCAGAATTCAAGAAGCTTAGGCATACAAATAGGCCCAGGGAAGCAACACACGACACCTCAGAAGCCTCTTAGGAAAGACAGGCTCCATAAAATCAAAATGTCTTGCCCGCAGGGATTTTTCACTGGTGTTCGAGTGATGCGTTGGGCTACGGCTTGCATCGGCTTGCATTCATCCAGCACAAAGCTTCATAAGCTCTTCTGGCTCTCAACTCGCTTTCGGAAAACACTCACTCCATAACTAGTTTTGTTTTCACATTTTTCTCCATATTTCCGAACGCTGGATGACTGAATTGATCGTGCGCTAAAGTTCGTGCTACTTGTCTGGCTTTGTTCACATGCAGGGATCGGGCTGCGAGGCTCCACATCCTGGCAACCTTAAAAGCTGGATATGACATGGAAGGATATAACCATGACAGACCTGAAATGACAAAAAAATTATATGGTTATATGTTATATAATTACGGTTACAGTTACTCGACTATTACTTGCATGACGTTGAACATTCCAAAAAAATGTCTCATTTGAGAGGACGTATCCTCGCCCGATCTGGTCTCGTTCCGCACTCCAAACTGCCGCAGTTCACAGCCGCGACGCCTCTGCCGCGACGCTGAGGTGACTCTCAGGACTTGGACATGACCAGCTCCAAGGAGGCGCCCGGAAGGCGCACGGCCAGCAGCTCGAAGGTGATGCTAGCGGCATCAGCGTTGATCCATGCAATCATTGTTGCTTCTGAGGGTTCGGTGAACGCATACTCATACTGGGTCTGGCGAACGACAGGATTCACTTTGAACTTCACCCAGACGGGCTCGGTGACACAAAGAAAGAGGTAATGCGACCCGAAGGATTTTTTGGTGACTCGCAGCCAAGCCTGGACGGTGGACACTCCAAGCGGGAACTTCTCGCTTTCCACCGTCTGACCTTTCGCAAAACCACCAAGGTTGTAACTTGAAAAGTCCCACCTCATTGATTTGATGGGAACTTCACGGAGCTTCTCGAGCTCTTTGCACTTCTCAAGGAGCTCTTGGCACGTCTTAACAAGGCCATCGCATCTGTCATCCAGGCCATCGCACCTGCCATCAAGGCGCTTGCACTCAACATCCATCAAGTCACTCAAGCCCTTGCACTTGCCCCTGATGGCACCAAGGAGTTTGCATAGCAAGAAGGAAGCACGGTCATTGGTGCGGTCTAAATAGTGTGCACATGCGATGGCTTCGTGACTTTCATCCTCTTTCCCATTGGCAGCAAATAGTTCTGCGGCAGCAACAGCTACTCGAGCACCATCTGCACGTCGGTTGGCCTTGTCAAGCATGTTTGCGAGCAAGCGCAGCTGGTCAGCAGCCAAGTCCTTCAAATGTCTCTCTTGAAGGGATAGAAGCTGCATCACATCTCCCGGTATCTCATCCTTCTTCTCCAAATGAAGCCTGAGAAGCAATCCTTCTGTATCACTGTTGCTGTCCACACTTGCATCTTGCCGCAACAAAGATTGGCAAAGCTGCTCCAGAAGAGCATCCCGGACGTGTGCATGAGAGGCATCAATTCCGTGTGCCTTCATCAGCAAGTTCAGCTTTTCCTTGCGCTCGTCATCATTCAGGCGAGAGGCGAGTTCAGCGAAAATCAAGGCAGAACTCTTGGGTGGCCATTGGTCTAAACTTGCAATGCCAAGGTCTGAATTGAAAAAGCCCCGGGCGCAACCAAGGGCAGCTCCTTGGTTGTCAAGGTAAAAGCAAGCCTTGCGGAGCAGTCTCGTGTCAAGTTCTTCAAGCTGAGCTCTCAGGCTGCCATGGAAAGTTGCCAGCACCAAGGATGCTCCATCCGCGCAGCCATCATCCTCATCTTGGGCATCTTGCCGAAGCAGGTCCCAAAGGAACACTACTACATCTTGAGATTCATCCGCCTTGCCATTGGCAGCAAAGAGTTCTGAAGCTGCAACAGCCACCCGAGCTCCATCTGCTTGTCGATTTGCTTTGGCAACCATCTTTGCAAGAAGCAAGAGCTCATCAGCAGTCAAGTCTTTCAAATGTCGCTTTAGAAGCGATAGCTTCCGCATCACTTCAGCTGAAATCGCTTCCTTCGTCTCCAAATGGAGTTTCAGCAGCAATCCTTCCATGTCCTTGCTTTCAATGCTGCCTTGGACCAAGACATGTTGGTCAAGCTGCTGCATCAAACTACACCGGACGTGTACATTGGTGTCATCAATGCCATGCGCTTCTAGAAGCAGTTCCAGCTTCTCTTCATGTTTGGAATCATCCAGGCGGGAGGCAAGTTCAGCAAACATTGAAGTAGAACTCTTGGGCGGCCAGCAGTCCAAGGTCGAAATGCCAAGGTCGGTATTGAAGAAGTCTCTGGCACATGAAATGGTCTCCTCCTGGTTGCTCAGACAACTGCAAGCCTGGCGGAGTAAGATCGAATCAACCTCGTGAAGCTGAGCAGACCACCTGCTGTGATGGGTCGCAAGAACTAAAGCTGCGGCTTCCAGCCATGTGTCGTGTTGATGTCCTTGATGTTGGCTGAGGAAATGGATATGTTGGCACAGGAAGTTCCACAAACAATCTAAGCTCTCATCTTGCTGATCTGTTACCCATGAGCTTGCCATTCTGCGAACAAGCTCCTTGCTGATTACATCATGGTGAGGTCCGGGCAAGTGTAAGGACTTCACCATCTCTTCGTCAACTTGAGACAGCAAGCTCAGAGCTTCGTGTTCTGTCATTCCCGCAAGCAACTCTTGAAGGCTCGCAGTGTCTCTGATCTCCAAAATCAAAGGCACAAGTTCTTTCAAGACCTCAGCACGGTTGATGCCCGGCAACTTGCTGCGAAGGACCAGCAATGACACCAGCTTCTTCTTGGCAGATACATCTGGCAAACACGGCCTGACGAATTGCTCACCTTTCAGAAGCAATTCTACCGCGTCCTCGCTCGGTAGTTGTGAGGCCACTGACAGAATCTCTGCCACGGATTTCTGCTTGTACTCGACAATGGCCGACTTCATGTGCTGATTCGGGTGGAGAGCCTTCGGTACAGCAACACACACGGTCAAATACAGTGCAAGCATTGCTGTCGATGTGACAGGTTTCGACAAACGACTGATGTTTGTGAGCACAAAGGTCGTGGTTTCATGGATGTTCCGATTCCCAAAAAGGAATGGTTTCAATGGGTACACCCTATTGGGTGTCATAGTAACATGATCTTGGCAAAGGTTCGGTGAACTGACAGCTTTCTCTCCAGGGCGCCTGTGTTTCCATCGGCTGTCCAGTCGTCGCACTCCTGTTGTTGGACTTAAACCATTGCATAATGCAAGTCCTTTCGTAGGTGAAGCCGTCTGCTGCCACCACGGGGTCTTCCATGAGGGCATGAGAAATCGGGCAGCAAAGATCATTCGGTTCCTCCTTGAGGCGTTTTACCTTGGCAGCCGGCGTTTGAAGAGGAGGTGAGAGTCCCAAACGTGTGAGAACTTTATACTTGATGCGCTACTGCTACTCACTCAACCGGGCCATTCAAAACTATTTGTACTTGATCCAAGTTAGGACTTGAGGCCGAGGGTAGGTGACGAAAGCTAGCAGGGGTGCATCCGGACTGGTGGGACATCAAGCGGAGTGAGGCAAATGCTCATGAGGTAAAACGTTGTGAACATGTAAGACACACAAACAGCAATGACACAGCCAACCTTAGAATTGAAGTCCCCGATAATTAAGGAAGCGTGGCTGGACTTTGCCACACTGTTCGATGCATCCGATGTGTTCACGAACCTGTGAGCTTGTTGAATCTGTTGCGCTGTATCCCAAAACCTCCACGGAGGAGTTGAACCAGTGTGGATGCCATAAGAGGTGCCCAAGAGGTGTCCCAGAGGCAAAACAAAGCTGCTTGCATGATTTGTTTGGTTTCTTCTATCGATGTCGATGTCATGAACATGTGAGCTTGTTGAATCTGCTGTTGGATCGTCATGTATATGTAATGAGGGACTGAAGAAAAGCAACGCAGCATCATGAGCATCACGGGAAGTCACAAACCAGCCGTATCAGATACACCTGGTTTATGTATGTTTGTTTGAGCATCTTTGTCGAGTGAAGTGTCAGCCATATGCACTGAGATGCCGAAGGAAGCTCAAAGGCACGTGTATCTGATACGCCTGGTTTCTGGACTTCCCGTGATGCTCATCATTGAAGCCTTGAACCCTCGCGTAAATTTCATGTTTCATGCCCCCCCTTCCAAACTCAAACAGTGGCCTACTTCACCTGCCACCTAAACATAGCACTATAGCACGTACCGGAAGCGTCCCAGGGGGGAGTTGAACCCGCGGGGGGGAAGAGGGGGCCCTACACGTGAAGCTTTCACGTGATTCATGATTCTCGAGGCTGCGAGCAGCAACTCCAGCTAGCTGATGCTAGCTTTCGTGATATGTTGATATATATATATATGTGTGTAAGTAGTTAGAGACGGTTAGAGAGTCATAAGTTGATCTACCTTAGAGACTTTCAGAATCTTCACATATCTTAAAGCTGCACACAATCCGAACACCCGTAATCCTGCGCATCCGCATTATCCTTCTATCTGGCTCCACACAGCCAAGCAAGCTGAAGCAACTTTAGGTCAAGGCTGAGAGGCTGCGCTTCAGCAGCTCCACCTCTCATAAAAAAGTCCCTGGGGCAGTTTTGGGAGTTGGGACCGAGACCCTTTGCAAAGTTGCTCGATGAAGTTGAACAGGTACTGTGCACAAACCATAGTCCAGTAACCACAGGAACAAGAAGCATCGAAATCGCGAGCTGCGAACAAGTTGCCAATGGGTTCAAGCCGTGTTCGCTGCCCTCTTGAGTACGGCTTTGGCTGTCCTGACTGCAAGACTCCAAAGTCAAGAACTGGAGCCAAATCTCTGATCTCTCCAGATCTCCAATCGATTGCCAAAACGATACAGTTCCAGAACTAGAATTGCCTAGACAGTCCTCTCCATTGGAAGATTGCATGGACTCTAGGATCTTCACAACTTCGGTGGCTTCCACGCTCCAAACCTCCGCGATGGCGTCCACTGGCATGCCTTTCTGACCTCATGGGCATGCTACTTTCGCAGTGCTCTAGAACTTCAACAAACAGGCCTCTTCTGGCTTTCCCAATTGTGTTTTGTCGTCCAAAAAAATCCCCTGTCCAACACGGAATTTGATTTAGTTGCAAGAAATGCCCGGCATTCTGGCAGTGCCATTTGCATGACGGTTTATGAATTGCCAATACTTCCAATCGCGCAGAAAGACTCCCCCCGCTGCCACTGTTAGGAATCGGTCCAAGTCTGACTCAACGTGTGGTGACTAGGTCTTAGTTCAGGGAATCAGTGCAACGCTCCACTGGACAGTGTAATGATTGGGGGTAGGGAACCACTCAAGATCATTCAAGTTCTCAAGTTAGTATCAAAAAGACCGGCTCGCAAAAACCTACAGTACTCATGGGATGCTCACACAGACCTGCCGGGATGCTCATGCGGAGGATCCTCTGCGAATCCTGACGACTCAGTCCACCGAGCTTCTCCTCCTGGCGAGGCGTCGAGGGTTCGAGGCGTCACACGCCAAGCTCTTTCCGCCGCACGAAACGCAATGCGAATGCCGGGCGGCGTTTTCGCGGGCGGCGAACACAGTGGAAAGTGTTCCACAGAGTTTGCACGCAACACCATCTACTTACAGGATAGAACAAGTACAATCTGATGATAAAAGTCCAGAAAAGGAGGAAGGGATGTCAGGAAACATCGCGTAAAACCAAACAAAGGATTAGCTGATCGCCTCAAACCACCAAAAATGACCAAAATAAGCTTCCATGTTCAAAGCCCTCCTTACGAGGTGACCGACCTTCGACGTTCCAGCTGGCATGAGTGCCCAAAGTTTCAAGGGTCCTAGAATCAATGGCGATTGACCAAGAAGGGTACACCAAACTATGAGGAAGAAGAAAACTACTGTCTACCTTGTAGTTCTTCAGAAGATCAAGTAGGCCGAGTTGACTAGAACATGCTTGAAGACGTCGGGAAGCCCGTGTTAACCACCAACGCCGGATGCCATCGATTCCATACCGGACCTTCTCCAAGCTCTGTGGCTCACTCTTGTTTTCTTTGCCCCTTCCCATCAGAGCGCCGGAAAATTCAGAAAGACTCGGCTGCTTTCGATGTTCCAAGTGGCTGCAGCGAAAAACAGCACAGCACGACAGTCGAAAAGGCCTTTTTGGGGCCTCTCTCTCAACCAAAGTTGGCATCAATCGTGGTAAACTACTGACATCAACATCCCAATCCAATCCTTCAAGATTGAAAAAATCACAAACTAATTCAAAACAAGTTGAAAATCACTCTGGAAGTTCAGGATCTCTCTCGGGACTCTTTTGGTTTTAAACGCTTTGCTTCTTTCAACAATCCTTCAGCTTCGAGTCCCGACAAGCCCCTCGCGTGGCCTGCGCCGAACTTCGAACTCGCCGCGCCAAGCCCAGCAGCTCAACCTCAGATGGTCGGCCCATGCGATTTCGGGTGAAGATGTGGACGGATTTAGGTCGTTGCACGAAGCACGGGAGTGATCCATGGTCATCTTTCAGTGGTCATGCTTGTGTTTAGCACGATACTGCAAGGTATATATTTATCCATACTGCACACCCTTTTTGGCTGTCAGCGTGATCACATTTGCTGTTGGGTTGTCAAGCGACTTCGGAAGACCCAGCCGGCGATGTTTCCCAATTTCAGCTCGTTGAAAAGGGTTTGGGGAAGTGATCCTTTGAAACCATGGCCCAAATTGGAAACGATGAGCCGAACTGTATACGAAAGATGACAGATCAAAAACCAACGTTGAGAAGCTGAACATGGCTTTTGAGGCATGTATAAAGAGAAATGTACGTGCTTGCAAATGCACAGGGCACAGTGGCAAGCTCATTTTCGCAGACCCTTGGTGATAGATCTGGTAAGCCACCGCCACTGTGGCTTGCTGGCCCGGTTGGTTTCTTGGTCCTGGAGGTTCATGGGAAGCCTGCTAAGCCTCACAGTGTCCAAGTCACGTGTGGCGTGTGGCCCCATCCTTCATGAAGGCTGGATGGGCCAGCTGGCCTAGGAGCTGGTTCTTGGACACGCCACTAGTATTGCATGCTGGGCGCATGGGAAGTGATATAGGTTGCACAGAAGTTTGTCCTTGGAAGTTTTCTTGGCTGTTGGAGCTGCTAGCTTGTTCTGCTGCACTGGATCCTCAAAACTTTGGAAGGTATTCCAAATGGCTTTGATGGAGTGCGCTGGGCCAGAATACTGCCATTGGTCTTTTAGTCAACGGAGGTTTGCAAAAAAGGTACTTGGTCAATGGTGAGCGAGAATACTGCAAGCAGAAAGAGAAGAAGAAAGAAACAAAGGAAAAGAACAAAACGCTAACTGCACCCACTTGCGAACGGTCCGACGGTCCCTCAAAGCCCTTCCACATAGGGGTGAAGAAAACGCATAGCCCAAAAGAAGGAGATGCAAATACTCTATTCAGACATACCATCAGGAGCCACGTATGGTACGAAAGGACCCAAAAAACGGTTTCGTCCAGTGTCCGTGCGATGCGATGTTGGGTGCCTTGGCTTCATGTTTGCAGTCATCCTGCTGCAGCTTCCTCGATCCTCAAAAAGGAACAGCTGCCGAAAGAAGTAACAAATGCAGCAATAAAGAATATACAAAACAGGGTCTACACGTACGTACATAAATACAGTATGTATGTTGTATCTGTTCAATACACATCTGGACAGTCAATTGTCAGAAGCACTTGGTTGAACATCACACCAAGAAAGAAACATAACTGCACACCACAATCCTTTACAATCATCTAGAGTAGATGAACATCCTCTGACAAGTCCAATAAGTCCACAACACTCTGGATTGAAGACCACTCCAAAACCTCTTTGGGGCTTGGAACCTCCACATGTCTCTCCTGAAACAAAACTCCACATGCGCAGGGAGTGAAACAGCCCAGCCTGCGTCAAAAAATCTGCATCTCAGCAGATGACGTCTCACCTGACCCCAGCTTTAGAATAATCGGATGGTCTTGCAGGTCTTGCAGGTCTGGGCAAGTGGGTGAAACTTCGCTCCGGTGAAGAGGCTTTTTTGGTTGCTTTTAGTGTTTTTTTTGCGGTTTCTTTGAGGCACTGTAGTCTGTAGTCGCACACCTTGACTAGCTCAAGCTTCATGAATGTGAATCTCTTAACTTGGCCCAACAAAAGGTGTCGCCCCAAGACCTGTTTGGCAGATTTGTCCCAAAAAATGTGCAGCAAACTGCCGGCCTGAAGCAAGCTTGATCAGCTTGATCCCGCTTGATCCTAATCCAAGCATCCGATGCACTAAGAGTGTGATCAGTGAGGGGATAGCCTGGGGATACTCCACGGGGATGGCTTGAATTAAGACCTTGAAGCGTATCCAATTTTGAGTGTAGGACAGTGTAGGATCGGTGAAGCTGCGCAGAAAACACACATGGACAAAGAGCCAGGAACTAGCGCAACTCGTGTGGCTAATTCCGGGTGCGTCACAGCGAGCGGAAGACGAGCAAAGCTTTCCAACATGTAAAAGAAGAACCCGGAACTCTCCTCCTCATTCCGCATGTGCGGCTGCAGGTGGCCTCACCGCAACAAGACATCGACAAAATGTCTGAAGAGATGAAGGGTCTCTGCGCGCAAAAGGGTCAAAGGATTACTAGACTTCAAGAAGCTTAGGCATACAAATAGGCCCAGGGAAGCAACACACGACACCTCAGGAGCCTCTTAGGAAAGACAGGTTCCATAAAATCAAAATGTCTTGCCCGCAGGGATTTTCGCTGGTGTTCGAGTGATACGTTGGGCTACGGCTTGCATCGGCTTGCATTCATCCAGCACAAAGCTTCATAAGCTCTTTTGGCTCTCAACTCGCTTTCGGAAAACACTCACTCCATGAGTAGTCTTGTTTTCACATTTTTCTCCATATTTCCGAACGCTGGATGACTGAATTGATCGTGTGCTAAAGTTCGTGCTACTTGTCTGGCTTTGTTCACATGCAGGGATCGGGCTGCCAGGCTCCATCCTGGCAACCTTAAAAGCTGGATATGACTTGGAAGTATATAACCATGACAGACCTGAAATTACCAAAAGTATATACGGTTAATTACGGTTACAGTTACTCGATTATTGCTTGTTAAACATTCCAAGGAAATGTCTCATTTGAGAGGACGTATCCTCGCCCGATCTGGTCTCGTTCCACACTCCAAACTGCTGCAGTTCACAGCCGCGACGCCTCTGCCGCGACGCTGAGGTGACTCTCAGGACTTCGACATGACCAGTTCCAAGGAGGAACCCGGAAGGCGCACGGCCAGCAGCTCGAAGGTGATGCTGGAAGCGGCGTCAGCGTTGATCCATGCAATCCTTTTTGCTTCTGAGGGCTCGGTGAACGCATACTCGGTCTCGCAAACCTTGCTGACAGGATTCACTCTGAACTTCACCCAGACAGGCTCGGTGACACAAAGAAAGACGTCAGGTAATCTGCGGGAATCCATGGTGACTCGCAGCCAAGCCTGGACGGTGGACACTCCAAGCGGGAACTTCTCGCTTTCCACCGTCTGACCTTCCGCAAAACCACCAAGGTTGTAGCTTGACAAGTCCCACTTCAATGATTTGATGGGAACTTCACGGGGCTTCTCGAGCTTCTCGCACTTCTCATCAAGGCCATCGCATCTGCCACCAAGACCCTCACACCTGCGATCAAGTCCATCACATCTGCCATCAAGACGCTTGCACTCGACATCCACCAAGTCCCTCAAGCCCTTGCACTTGCCCGTGATGCTCCCAAGGAGTTTGCACAGCAAAAGGGAAGCACGATCATTGGTGCGGTCCAAATAGTGTGCACATGCGATGGCTTCATGAGATTCATCCTCCAGCCCATTCGCGGCAAAGAGTTCTGCGGCAGCAACAGCTACGCGAGCACCATCCGCACGTCGGTTGGCCTTGTCGAGCATGCTTGCAAGCAAACGCAGCTGGTCAGCAGCCAAGTCCTTCAAATGTCTCTCTTGAAGGGATAGAAGCTGCATCACATCTCCTGGAATGTCCTCATTCTTCTCCAAATGAAGCCTGAGAAGCAACCCTTCTGAATCGTTGTTGCTGTCCACACTCGCATCTTGCAGCAACATAGCTTGGCAAAGCTGCTTCAGAAGAGCATCCCGGACGTGTGCATGAGATGCCTCAATTCCATGCGCCTTCATCAGCAAGTTCAGCTTCTCCTCGCGCTCGTCATCATTCAGGCGAGAGGCGAGTTCCGTGAAAATCAAAGCAGAACTCTTGGGTGGCCATTGGTCTAAACTGTCAATGCCAAGGTCTGAATTGAAAAAGCCCCGGGCGCAACCAAGGGCAGCTCCTTGGTTGTCAAGGTAAAAGCAAGCCTTGCGGAGCAGTCTCGTGTCAAGTTCTTCAAGCTGAGCTCTCAGGCTGCCATTGAAAGTTGCCAGCACCAAGGATGCTCCATCCGCGCAGCCGTCTTCCTCATCTTGGACATCTTGCCGAAGCAGGTCCCAAAGGAACACTACTGCATCTTGAGATTCATCTGCCCTGCCATTGGCAGCGAAGAGTTCTGAAGCTGCAACAGCCACCCGAGCTCCATCTGCTTGTCGATTTGCTTTGGCAACCATCTTTGCAAGAAGCAAGAGCTCATCAGCAGTCAAGCCCTTTAGATATCGCTTTAGAAGCGATAGCTTCCGCATCACTTCCGCTGGAATCACTTCCTTCGTCTCCAAATGGAGTTTCAGGAGCAATCCTTCCATGTCCTTGCCTTCAGCGCCGTCTTGGACCAAGACATGTTGGTCAAGCTGCTGCATCAAACTACACCGGACGTGTACGTTGGTATCATCAATACCATGTGCTTCTAGAAGCAGTTCCAGCTTCTCCTCATGTTTGGAAACATCCAGGCGGGAGGCAAGTTCGGCAAGAATGGAAGTAGAACTCTTGGGCGGCCAGCAGTCCAAGGTTGAAATGCCAAGATCGGTATTGAAGAAGTCTCTGGCAAAGGAAATGGTCTCCTCCTGGTTGCTAAGGCAAAGGCAAGCCTGGCGGAGTAAGATCGAATCAACCTCGTCAAGCTGAGCAGACAACCTGCTGTGATGGGTCGCAAGAACTAAAGCTGCGGCTTCCAGCCATGTGTCGTGTTGATGTCCTTGATGTTGGCTGAGGAAATGGATATGTTGGCAAAGGAAGTTCCACAAACAGTCTAAGCTCTCATCTTGATGATCTGTTACCCATGAGCTTGCCATTCTGCGAACAAGCTCCTTGCTGACCACATCAGGGTGAGGTCCGGGCAAGTGTAAGGACTTCACCATCTCTTCATCAACTTGAGACAGCAAGCTCAGAGCTTCGGGTTCTGTCATTCCCACAAGCAACTCTTGAAGGCTCGCAGTGTCCTTAATCTCCAAAATCAAAGGCACAAGTTCTTTCAAGACCTCAGCACGAGTGATGCCCGGCAACTTGCTGCGAAGGACCAGCAATGACACCAGCTT